TGTGTGTGAATCCTCAATATTACTCTGCAGTTACAATAATCCACATTTCCTCAGTGCTAATATAATAAAAGGTTCAAACTATCTAATAGGATCCGTTTACATCGGTTCTTTTTATATTAATGTTAATGAGACTGGATGAGGAGGAGATAAAAATAGGAAAGGGAAAAGAAAATAGGTTAAAGGAGGAGAAATGTGCCCTGTGCGCAGTCATGAGGACTGTGTGAAGTCTGGATTCAGTCCTCTGATATCATGTGAAAGCAGACTGGTTTGATTCCCAAACCTCTGCTGAACTCTGTCCCACAGAAACACATCCATCAGGAGCCAATCAGCTGTTTGTGTGTGAGCAGAAACCAGCAGCTCAAATGTTTCACATGAACAAATTTATGTTTCTTTGCATTTTCCCGCCGACTCCTGAACACGAACAATCAAAACGAGGAACCCAGAACTTCACCGTTTCTACGGACTCTCTTCCCCAGCTTAGCTTAGCTACAGATGAGGTTGGATGAAGCTAACTGACTTTAAACAGTTTGTTGGTAAAAATCAAAGTTCACCTGGTTCAACAGACGATGTAGGTGTGTGTGTGTGTGTGTGTGTGTGTGTGTGTGTGTGTGTGTGTGTGTTTGCAGTCCGACCAGCTTTACTGCAGTTTTGGCATCAACTTACATTCATCTAATCACACACACACACACACACACACACACACACACAGACACACACACACACACACACACACACACACACACACACACACACACACACACACACACACACACACACACACACACACACACACACACACACACACACACTCACTCTCACACACACACACACACACACACACACACACACTCTCACTCTCACACACACACACACACACACACACACGCCTCTGACAGTTTGATTAATCACTATAAGGTGACTGTGTGATATTTTCTGCACGTCAAGCCAAACACACGCAGACACGCAGACACATCATTACCTAGTAAAAGGAATTCTGGGTAATTACGTCGTGGCTGTCTTTACCACAGTGGTAGAATGGTTACCATGGCAACGGGGGAGAGTAGAAGTCGTGAGTGTGTGTCACTTTTCTTGAGTTTCTCATCCTGCACCGGTTGCAGCGTTCAGTCAGACGGGAATATTCAGGCATTCGTATTTTATAAGCATTCCCCGAAAGTTCAGACCAGCGTGTCCCAGCTGAGGCTGAACTTAAAGGTTCGGAGATGACGAAGAGGTTAATCAGATCGACTGTGACGAGCAGCGAGGAAACATTCACTTCAGCAGCCAAAGTCAACAGAGCTGCAATGTGGTTCACCCTGTCGGCACCCGAGCCAGCTCCCGGCCCCGATCACATCCACGTCTCACTGACACACTCAAAGACTTAAAGATAACCCTCCAAGTCCCAAATCAGGTTCCGAGTCTGCACTGACAAGTCTTTGGGATTTGAAGGGAAACCTTTGAAATAACATACTTTTTAATGTTTGGGTATCAGGTCATTTCACGTCCAGGTCATGTGACTAGTCCACACCTCTGCTACAAGGATCAAACAGTAAACTTCTCCTGAGACTTTGGGTTGTTCGTGAATCCAGCCGCTTAATAAAAAGTCTAAAATATATATCAAACGTGTGTCTTTATTCTTTCAGTATGTACATATTGCACACGGGGCGGTAGCTTATACAATATAAATATACTGGAATATTATTATCACTGATATTATTACACATCATGTAACATAAAACACATTCGGCATCTGGTTGAACAGCCGCTGTCCACGAAGGCTTCAGGACATGCCTCCATCGTCCAAACATGCCGTCCTGCGAGAACAAGGAGGAGACATTCAGTCCCAGATCAGTTTCTATCGTTAGTTTCCACCACTGACTCTCTTTAAAGCAGCGATCCGTCTCGTAATCCTGTCAGAAACCAGGAGAGTCACCTCAGAGCTTCAGGAGAACCCACGTTGTACAGTCTGAATGTGAGCGGCTGAAGGTTTCTGTCCAGCTGAGGTGAGTCTGGTTGTGTAGGCAGAATAAGACCGAATAAAACCAAATAAAACCAAATACAACTGAATAAAACAGGAATCTAGTGCAAACAAGGACGTTCTGTCGGGAACGTTTCAGATGAGAACCCGAGCGTTAACAGGAGCAACAGGACGATTGAAAGCTGAGTCAAAACAGCTTTGAGTTGTAAGAAGAGGTTTGAGTTCAGTACAACAGACCTTTTTCACAGCAGCTATGTAGACATGGAACAGTCAGGTAAACGAAGGTGTTACCAATGATACTAATCAAGGATCGGTTCCATTTCTTTGTTTTTTCTACCAATACGGAACCGGCTCCGTAGTGGTTCGCACACCAAGTTTTAAACCATTCGAAGCATTTCGACCAAAAATAAATCTGTTTATTAGTTTCCTCTGGAACCGAAGTGGGTTCCCAAGGAAAACACTTTTAAGGTTCTGAACCAATTTATTTTTGGTCAAATTGCTCAGAACGGTTCAAGTTCTTAAACT